TTGCCATCGCCTTTCTCCCAAGGAGCAGGCGTCTTTTAATTTCGTGACTGCTGTCACCATCTGCAGTGATCATGGAGCCCAAGAAAATAAAATCTCTCACTGCCTCCATTTCTTCCCCTTCTATTTGCCAGGAGGTGATGGATTGGATAGTTTTAGAAAATTGTTACAGTTACGTTGTACTGGAGCTCTATATAAGCAGGGTGACTGAACCCTTCAGTTCAGTTCTGTCCTGGCCTGTGGATAAACAAGAGCTGTTTGAAGAATTGCTATGTCGTCTGATATGTTCACCCACAACTTAACAATTATTATTATTATTATTATTATTATTATTATTATTATTTATTATAACTCCTTTGACCACAGATGCATCCTGGCATCTTAGGTGATGTTGTCCCCATTTTCCACCTCCGCAGGGCACCCATTTGACCCAACCTTCTACCTCAGCCATGCCGTCTCCAATGTTATCTGCTTTGTGGTGTTTGGCCAGCGGTTTGAATATGAAGACAAACAGTTTGTCTTTTTACTTGATGTGATCAACAAATCCTTCCGGCTCGTGACTTCCGCACCATCGCAGGTAATGGAGGCACCTGCTCACCTGGGACAAGAGAATGCATCCATAGCCTCCCGTAACCTGGTTATTTCATGCCCTCCACTTTTAAAAAAATGGCTCGTTTTTATTTGGGTGGGCATAGTATAGGGCCTGGGTATTAAGGGGTCCAGAGCATGGGGTGCAAGACAATGAGGAAGCTTAGACAGTTATGTCTGTTATTCTTCTTCAAAGATGAAGAATTTTTTCCCGGGCCTGATGCGGATCCTGCCTGGGCCTCACCAAGAAGGTCCCAAGTACATGAAGGAGTTAATAAACTTCATCTCTCAGAGGGTCCAGATCCACCGGGAATCCTTCGATCCAAATTGCCCCCGGGACTTCATTGACTGTTTCCTGGCCAAAATGGAGCAGGTACTTGTTGGGGGAACCACGTGTCTCCCAGTTATTGGACGTTGACCTTCTCACCAGTCTTTGTTCTGCATAAAGGGCTCATCCAGACTTCATTTCGTGCTGCATTTCTAGGCACAGGTCCACACTTGAAAGCACCATGTCTAAATGCTCCCCCCTTTTTCTTTTTGGTCCCATGATTTTCCATTACAATCTACTCTTTGCCAATGAATCGGAGCAAACAGCAATCCATGGAAAAACCCAAACTGCCATTTGTTCCGGTCCAGCATCAGGGGTGTGCGGTGGGTGTGGACCGCCTTGGGTGTCACCACTGAGGGGGGGGTGAGAAAATGCTGGGCAGCACTCACCGCGGGGCCTGCAGTGCGCCCAAGCCACACATCTCTCCTGGGAGAGATGTGGTGGCTTAGGTGCCCGCAGGCTCTGCGCTGCCCAAACGGTATGCCCGCTTCTCCCCCCCCCAACTGTAGAGCGTCTGAGTGGGAGGAGGCAGGCAGACTCCGGAGGCCCCGTGGTGTGCCCTGCCCCTATGGGCAGCTCATCCTGCCCCTGGGCACACCGCCCCAGGGCCTGAGCAGCTCCTGCACCAATGTCCAGCATTGAAAAGCGGGTTTTCCTGCTTTTCTTTTTCCTGGCCATGCCAGGAACACCCTGTTACTCCCAGCTGACTGAGGACCCTGCCCCGGGCCACAGACAAGCTCTGCACTGGCCTGGCAATAATAATACAGTTGGGTACCTCTGGTTACTGTACTTAATTCGTTCTGGAGGTCCTTTCTTAACCTGAACTGTTCTTAACCTGAAGCACCACTTTAGCTAATGGGTGGCCTCCTGCTGCCGCCGCGCCCCCGGAGCACAATTTCTGTTCTCATCCTGAAGCAAAGTTCTTAAGCCGAGGGACTATTTCTGGGTTAGCGGAAGTCTGTAACCTGAAGCATCTGTAACCTGAGGTACCACTGTATTGTTCGACCACACTTTACAAAAGTTAAAAAACTTACAATGGATTAGAATAAAAATTCTATTGAGTCAGATATCTAAGGTGAGGGGGACAAGAAACAGCTGCCATAACATAGTGTAAAAATGAAAAATAGAAATCTACGGCAAACACTTCTTGGTTCCTTACCAAGCCAATCTCAAAAGTAAAGGTAACAGGGACCCCTGACCATTAGGTCCAGTCGTGACCGACTCTGGGGTTGCGCTCATCTCGCTTTATTGGCTAAGGGAACCAGTGTACAGCTTCCTGGTCATGTGGCCAGCATGAACTAAGCCGCTTCTGGCGAACCAGAGCAGCGCACGGAACGTCCATTTACCTTCCCACCGGAGCGGTCAAACACAGATGTCTTCATTTTCATTAACTTGTATCCAGTCAATCTAATTCAGGGACTGTATAAACCAAAATATTTCTATGTAATAGAGGTTTATAATATACAGCACAGTTGTTCTTTCATAATTGATCTAAATATACGGAAAGCAAATCCTGCTGGCCATACACCAGCCTTCCATAAAATCTTTGTGCAGGCATGCTGATTGGCTCCTGGTTGTATAACTTGCTCTCTTCTTCCCTCCTCTTCTTCCTCCCTGTGTCAGGAGAAAGAGAACCCAACTTCGGAATTCCATAATGAGAACTTGGCTGTTACGGTTCTTAACCTGTTCTTTGCAGGAACAGAGACAGTCAGCACCACCCTCAGATACGGACTTCTCATCCTCCTCCGATACCCAGAGATAGAAGGTGAAAAAACAAGACCAAATCTTCCTCACTCAGTCTTGTTTGCCCGTCTTTTGGGCTGCCTTATGGGTTCCTTCCTTGCCAGATAAACCAGGACTCCCTTTTAGCTCTAGCCTATGAAAGTTCCACTGGGACAAAACCCGAACTTTAGCCTGCCCAGGTCCTTTCTTTGATCACCCTGGGGCCAGAAACATCTATGGCAAGCACTCCTACTGTTCTAGGGTTCACACTGGAAACAGTGGTGGTTTGATGTGAAATTGCTGCTGGGAATAATCTGGAGTAGTTTTAGACCATTCGTAGCAGTTTCTTGAGATGATGGGGCAGGTTGTTGGCTTTTGCATGACTGGAAGGTAGCCAACTGTCCAGTGCTAAGAGAGTCACACCTGTTGCTCCATCCACTTTTGGCTTTGGTTCTACCCACCATTGTCATGTGGTCCCTGAAAGGTTCTACACAAAAGACTACAGTCCCTGGTTTCAAAAAGGTCCAACGCTGAATAAAGTTATAGATAATGCTCTCCTGAGTGCATCTTTCGCTGTGCGAACTCTGCTGATAGAGCGTGCACGAGCTCTGGAATGTGGCAAGCTATTTCTGGGGCTCATGTCGCTAATTGACTGATACTGCGTTTCTACAGAGATCGATGGGGCGTCCGGAGACGGTAGGGGGCTTTTTGGACTTTGTCTCCCTGGCAGTATCCCAACATTCCTTACCCCAGTCTAGCCCCTTCTTATCTGTTTTGACTGGCAGCCAGGCTCTCAGGTGGAGAATGGTTCTTTTCATCAGCTTCTACATTAATCCTTTAATTGGAGATGCCAGAAACAGAACCTTCTGTATGCAAAGCATGAGCTCCATTTTGATTTTTCTTTCTATACTGCTCTGATATAAAATATATCAGAATTGGAGAATAGCCTCTACCAAAGGCATCAGGGAACTTTGAAGAAGCACGAACTCAGGATAAAAAGGGAGACACGTTTGGCAAATCTTCACCATGATCAACTTGCCCCCAGAAACCTATGTCCCTAATGTGGAAGGATGTGTGGATCCAGAATTGGCCTCCACAGTCACTTATGGACACACTGTTAAGACCATATTCATGGAAGACAATCTTAATCAGCCAAGAGTGATTGCCAAGGAAAGAAAGGCTATCAAAAATCTTTCCTCCTTCTATAAATGCATATATCTAACCACCTCCCACTGCCTGGGTACCACAGTATATCGTTTTAACCCTTCTCTCTTCTTTCCAGCTAAGGTCCAAGAGGAGATTGACCGGGTCATTGGGAGGAACCGCAGCCCCTCCTTAGAGGACCGGAGTCAGATGCCCTTCACGGATGCTGTCATTCATGAGATCCAGCGCTTTGTAGACGTCTCCCCACTGGCACCTCCTCATTTGGTGACCTGTGACACACATTTCCGGGGCTTCAGCATTCCCAAGGTGCGGTGAGCCATGTGGCCAACAGAAGCATTAGTGCCAGACGCGGGTGGCGCTGTGGGTAAAAGCCTCAGCGCCTAGGACTTGCCGCTCGAAAGGTCGGCGGTTCGAATCCCCGCGGCGGGTGCGCTCCCGCTGCTCGGACCCTGCTCCTGCCAACCTAGCAGTTCGAAAGCACCCCCGGGTGCAAGTAGATAAATAGGGACCGCTTACTGGCGGGAAGGTAAACGGCGTTTCCGTGTGCTGCGCTGGCTCGCCAGATGCAGCTTCGTCACACTGGCCATGTGACCCGGAAGTGTCTCCGGACAGCGCTGGCCCCCGGCCTCTTACGTGAGATGGGCGCACAACCCTAGAGTCGGACACGACTGGCCCGTATGGGCAGGGGTACCTTTACCTTTGACACGCATTTCCGGGGCTTCAGCATTCCCAAGGTGCGGTGAGCCATGTGGCCAACAGAAGCATTAGTGCCAGGTCCAAAATCCTACCTGCAGGTGTACAGATGGAGCTGTGCACATGTGTGTTCGCACCCCCCTGTGAAAGATTAGGAAGCTGCAGTGGCCTAGACCAGGCATAGGCAAACTCTGGCCCTCCAAATGTTTGGGACTACAATTCCCATCATCCCTAGCTAATAGGACCAGTGGTCAGGGGTGATGGGAATTGTAGTCCCAAACATTTGGAGGGCTGGAGTTTGCCTTTGCCTGGCCTAGATGGTTGTGGTTCCTCTTTCCGTCATTTACAGGAAGCAGAAGGAGATGTGCGTCTGTGTAGTGCAGCAAACTCGAGGAGTAATCAGTGAGGCAGGATACCTGTGGTAGAAATGTTGGGATACTGCCAGGTAGACAGAGGCAATCAGGCAGGCCTCCATCGTCGTCTCCGGACGATCACCGGTCTCCCGTGGAAACAGCATCAGTCAATTAGCGACACGAGCCTCAGACACATTCCAAGACTCATGCACGCCCTTCTCAGCAGTCTCCGCAACGGAAGATTCAGACAGAAGAGCATGTTTACAGCTTTATTCAACGTAGGTCAGAACAAAGTAAAAACATGACTGCTTGCATCCGTGTCGAGGAAACAGCCAGAACAAAAGCTATATACAAAACGGAAGTTGCCAGCGAGAACAGTGCTGGGAGTAAACTGTCATGTGGCACACAACAATCATGCCTGACTCTTTTAAGGAGGAATGGAAACTATATCCTAACATCAAATCCCGCCTAAAGACAGAAAAGCAGTCCCTCATCACTGTGGCAGTGGCGTAGCGTGGGGGGTGCAGGGGGGGCCGGCCGCACCGGGCGCAACATCTGGGGTTAGGGCAAATCCGCGGGTTAGGGGGCGCAAATCCACGGGTTAGGGGGCGCAAATTACTTGCCTTGCCCTGGGTGCTGACAACCCATGCTACGCCACTGCACTGTGGAAGGACTTTAGTACGGCAGCAAACTCAGTCACACACAACATCCTGTTATAATTGTGCTGTCTTACCTTAAATAGCCTGAGCCATCTTCACTCCTGCATTTGAGGAGGTTTGAACTAACTACGTTTCTTATTGTATTATTAATGCAGAAAGTTCAAGAGGTTTAGGTGGGTCTGGCACAGGGCGAAAGGCCAAATGCAGGATAAAAGGAAACAGAAGGCCCTGAACTGAATCAGTTGCAGTAATAATAGTAATATAATAATAATAATAATAATAATTAATTTCTTATTTCTACTCTACTCTGGGCAGCTTTCAACAGAACATTGAAAATTTAAAACCTTCAAAGTTCATGCCGCCTTTGGTAGAGGCTACTCTCCAATTCTGATATATTTTATATATCAGCAACCGTTGCTTTTGGGGTCTCTGTCTTTCCTCTCCAGGGAACCACAGTAGTGCCATTCCTGTCGTCCTGCCTGCATGACCCCCAGCACTTTCAGACACCGAGGAAGTTCAATCCTCAGCACTTCCTGGATGAAAGAGGGTCCTTCAGGAAGAATGAGGCCTCCCTCCCATTTTCAACAGGTATTGCACATCAGCTTCATGGTGGGGAGGAACGTATGGGAGGGCAGGCTTGGCTAAACCTTAGAAGGAATTAAGGATGTGAAGGAGGAAAGAAAGAGTGAGAAGGGTTAATTAATAGGAAAATAAGTCTTGGACTGAGCATTGTGTTAGTGTAGCGGGAATCTTTGTCAATAAAGCAGACACAGGCTCTTCCGAGGAAAGCCTTTGCCGCAGCAGGCTTTTCATGGGATCTTTTCCCAAAAGCAAAAAGCCCCAACTCCAACCAGAGCTGGGTATTTATAGTATTGAACAAACAAGTCACATGCATAATATACAGTGGTACCTTGGGTTAAGTACTTAATTCATTCCGGAGGTCCGTTCTTAACCTGAAACTGTTCTTAACCTGAAGCACCACTTTAGCTAATGGGGCCTCCTCCTGCTGCCGCGCCGCCGGAGCACGATTTCTGTTCTCATCCTGAAGCAAAGTTCTTAACCTGAAGCACTATTTCTGGGTTAGCGGAGTCTGTAACCTGAAGCGTATGTAACCTGAAGCGTATGTAACCCGAGGTACCACTGTATGTGCATGTCTAAAGCAAGATTATAAACTGCTACATAAGCAATGGCTGAAGTCCCAATAATCCCGCCCCCACCAGTACATGATGATTTAGAAGCAAGTTTCAAGATTAGAGCCAGACTCTCACTTCCTCAATCCGTTTCTCAGAGACTGCTGTCTTTTGCAAATTCTGGGAACACGTCAACCCTGCTGTAAATATCTCTCCACGGGGGGGCGTTCTCAAGCAGTCTGCTGTTACGGAAAAATCTAGGTGTGAGGCTGCTCAGTCACCCAGCTCGTCAGGCAGAGCTCGCGGGTCCCTGCGGAATAAAGGAAGGTGTCCAGTCACCAAAGTTGTAGACCAAAGTTTATTGCGCAACAGGTTCAAAGAGGAATTTTGGGGGTTTTTTTGTTGTTTTTTTTAAAAAATGATATTTATTACTTTTCCAACAATTTAAACACAACACTACAAAGAAAAAAAAAAAGAACAGAACAATACAATACAATACAAAAACACTACATAACACTGACACATTAAACTAACATAACCAAACAAAAACAGTTTAAAACACATCAAACAATTTCAGTATCTTATCTTTCATTCACTTATTTCCACGACCTCCTCACACCTCCCTTTTTGTATTCCACTTCTATTAGTTGTTTCAGCAATTCCTTTCCATCTTCCTCTGTTTTCTATCCTATAATTATCTTAACACATTCTAACCTTATTTTTCCTTTAATATTCTATTAATCTATTTATACTTAATTCCTTATAACATTTCTACTAAAGCCACATCACTTCATTCCAACATTCTTCTAACATTCATTAATTTTACAATGTTTCTGTAAATAGTCTTTAAACTTTTTCCAGTCTTCTTCCACCGACTCTTCTCCCTGGTCTCGGATTCTGCCAGTCATTTCCGCCAGTTCCATATAGTCCATCAGCAAAGAGGAATTTTGAACCCCGAGGATGGGGTGACAATGACTTTTAAAACTTTCCCACCATATCCCAGAATACAGATCGTATAGCATCATTGCTACATCATTGCTACACCACTGACATGTCACAAAAGGGGAGGGGTAAACAGGGGTTACACTAGTTTGACCTTGGCAAACATGTCCAGACAAGTCTTTGGTACAAGATTAGCATAAGCAGACATGGCAGGGCAAGACCCAGGTATAAGATTAGCAGAGGCAAACACCTCTGGAGTCCCATCACCCAAAGTACAATAGAACTTCCTTTGCATGTCTGGACCCCTTGGCAAGTCTGGTGATGGGATTAGGCTTTCCTTGGCCAACAATCAGCTCAGCAATTGTCACCTTTGGGCACTTCCTGGAGTAGGAAGTGTGTATACATGTCCTCACACTTGAGGAGCTGGCAGGGGAAAGAGTCGTTTTTTCCAAGGGCAAAATAGTGTTGAAATGGAGGAAACTGGCAAAGGAGTTGATTTTATATAATTGTTAAAGCTAGGTAACTTCCCTGAGCTGTCAAGTCGAAAAGATACATTTATGCATAATATTTGTAACATTTAACAACTTTAAAGATGTGCCCCCCCCCCCGTAATTTCCGTAACACTGCTCACAAAGGACCGCTGAGATAGCCAGGGACCACTGGGGCAGGTAAATCCCACCGTGTTCTGTTACATGGATAGTATGCATGTTGGGGATCCGCATTACATGTAGCCATTTGCACCATGTAGCAACCCATGACCCAGCTGTGAGCTAAATCTCCGTGATTCACCTATTAGCTGTATTCCTGCCCCAGTGGGGCAACCTGCAAAATCATCAGTTTCATAAGAACTGTTTCAGTTTCAGTTTGCAACAGATTACCATAACTCCTCTATTAGAAACACACTCAAGGAGTTATAGGGACACACATTATCACATTTATTGTGGCCCTCTGGGCCACCACCACAGTTGGAGGAATAACGTTTTAAAATTAATATTATTACAGTGGTACCTCGGGTTACATACGCTTCAGGTTACAGGTTACTCCGCTAACCCAGAAATGGTACCTCGGGTTAAGAACTTTCCTTCAGGATGAGAACAGAAATCATGCTCCACCGGCACGGCGTCCCGCTGCCGCCGTCTGGAATGGTCCGGAAGACCGTTCTTAACCTCCGCTAACCTCAGGTTAAGAACAGTTTCAGGTTAAGAACGGTCTTCCGGAACGAATTAAGTACTTAACCTGAGGTACCACTGTATTATAGGGATGTGGGTGGCGCTGTGGGTTAAACTACAGAGCCTAGACTTGCAGATTAGAAGGTCGGTGGTTCGAATCCCCACGACGGGGTGAGCTCCCGTTGCTCAGTCCCTGCTCCTGCCAATCTAGCAGTTCAAAAGCACGTCAAAGTGCAAGTAGATAAATAGGTACGGCTCCCGCGGGAAGGTTTTCCGTGTGCTGTTCTGGCTCACCAGAAGCAGCTTAGTCCTGCTGGCCACATGACCCAGAAGCTGTACGCCAGCTCCCTCGGCCAATAAAGCGAGATGAGTGCCGCAACCCCAGAGTTGTCCGCGTCTGGACCTAACGCTCAGGGGTCCCTCTACCTTTACCTTACCACTGTATCATAATTACCAGGACAGTGCAGAGCTTGTCTGTGGCCTGGGGCAGGGGTCCTTGGTCATCTGGGAGTAACAGGGTGTTCCTGGCATGGCAGCGTAAGTCTGGAGGGGCCCCATGGCCAGCTTATCATTCGGAAGCCCAGGGCAAGTGCCCCCAGCTGCCCCTCCCACCCTTTGCACGGGCCTGCATGTAGAGGAGCGGAGACGCAACTCCGGTTCACCAGATTACAAGTCTACCACTCTTAACCTCTACACCACTCTGGCTCTCTCACTGGCTGATTATTATTATTACTATCAAATTTGTATACTGCCCTTCCCCCGAAGATCATAGGGCAGTTCACAACATAAAAAATACAAAATGAAAACACAAAATACATAATAAAATCCTATTTTTTTGTTTCTCCAGGGAAAAGGGTCTGCCTTGGCGAAGGTTTGGCCCGTATGGAGCTCTTCCTATTCCTCACAACAGTGTTGCAAAACTTCCACCTAAAATCCCTCCAAGAGAGGGAGGAAATAGACATTTCAGCGGATGTGCGAGGCAGTTCAAAGCTTCCCCGGCCTTATAATCTTTGCGTGGTTCCCCGGTAAATGGTCCCTGCTGCATGAGCGCTGAGATATTTGGGGGATTCAGGTGCCTCTTCTATGTCTCTCTCTCTGATTGGGAGATAATATTTACACAATGAAGGTTCGTGGCTGGGAAACTGCTTTGAAAATCACTGTGACTAAAGTGTGTTATGTGTAGAACTCAATATAAAAGGAGTCTGCCCTGCTTGCGCTTCTTCTGTTCTTGATTTTTCTCATGGTAGAAAAAGAAAAGAGTATTAAAGCAACAAATAGGTGAGGTGGCTCACTCAATATTTTATACTGTGGGAGAAACGCAGAATGTCTTAAGAGGAGAATTTAAGATCTTTAAAGAAGATATATGTGAGTACACAGACACATTGGAAGAAGTGCCTGGGATATGCAGGGTTGTGCATGCTTCAGTTTAGTCTAAACACCTTCTCTCTGTCTCTGAATGGAAGATAACACAGTACATACCTTGGCTGTGAGTCCTGGAAGACCTGCTCGCTGCCTTGCAGGATTTTCTACACCTTGCTTGGGAGGGCCATCTTTAGTGCAGAACCAGGCCATTAAGTCTGAGCCTGAGCTTCCACCAGCCACGAACCACCCCATAAAATGCAGTAATCTAACCTAGAAGTCAACAGATCATAGGCAGCAGAAGTCGGCTGAAGCCTTGTTTTTCTGCAATGGCTGGAGATGGAATTAAAATTGGGGTCTCACCCTGACACAGGGCTCGTCCACGCTTCTGTTTTCCCATGTTTTCTAGGCATGGGTCTGAGAGGTTTTTAGTTTCCCTCACGGCTTTCCCTGGGAAAACCCCCTGCTTACTGCTGTCAGGGACGCGGACTTATAAAAAATATTGGGGGGGCCCGGGAAAGCTCATGAATAATAAATAAGCTCATGAATATGCAAATAAAGTGGCTCCGGCCCTAAATAGGGCAAGCCACGCCCCCCCAGCCAGCCGATTGGCTGGCTGGGAGGTGTGGCCAGTCGGGATTCCCCTGTTCTCGCGGGGGCTGAAACCGCCAGGAGGAAGGAAATTCCCCCCGGCAGTGCCTTGGCAGTGGCGGTGGTGCTGCGAAGCAGCGAGGCAGGAGCCCCCACCCCCGGCGCCCGAGATTATTGGGGGGCTGAGCCCCCCCAAAAAATTTTTTGAGGGGGCTCGAGCCCCCTCAAGCCCCATGGGGTCGGCGCCTATGACTGCTGTATCATAACAAACATCAACCAGGTTTTCTGCATTGCATCCATTGCATTTTTCAACAAAGACTTTGCTGAAGGAACATAGGAAGGCAACAGGGAAAACCCAGAGGAATTTGCTGGGTTTAGATGTCACCGCTGATGAATTACTATTTTCCCAGTCAAACGATCAAGTTAGCAGAATAAACATGGAAGCACACTGTTTGTTGAAAACCCAGCCGTTGTAAGTTGGGTGGGGTGAGAAGGTACATAAGGAAAGTCCTCAGAAGCTAACCCTGGACATATGTCCTTTTAATTGCTTCCAGCCCACCATCTACTGCTCCCTTCCCGAATTCCACACACCCCTCCCCTTCATGTCCTTTTTGCTGCTTTCGCTCATTCCACACATTCATTTCACTTATTCATATTTATTTAGGATTCCATACCCAGCAGAACCATCCCTGTTTGGCAGGAGGAACCTACAGTTGCTTTCATCCAACATCATAGCCTGTAAATGAGCCCCAAAGTTCTTGCAGAAGTGGGGCAGGGGAACCTCGGGAGAAATCCATGGCCATCAGACCGTGCATCCATCGCCCCCACTTTCTGTTTGGCCTTTCATCACTTGTCAGGGGGTGCGGGGAGATAGGCGCTTTCTCTCTCTCTTGCCTTTCAGGTGTAGCAGGCTGCCCAGAAGAGGCCAACTGGGAGGGCCTGGGGGAAGGTTTCTGGGGCGGTTCTTCTTCCAAGCAGAAACAGCAAGAGGAGGAGAATGCCCACAGACCAGAAGACCCCCAGCCAAGTCCTCATCCCTCCCCCCCTCTCTCTGTGTACCAAAGCCAGGCTCCTTGTTCCTGACTTCTCTGCACCCAGAAGGAGGAAGAGGAAGTGAAAAGCAGACAAGTGGTTTGCTATAGTCACTGCTGGCGATGATTCCAACACATCCTGAAATACTTTCCAGGCCAGGATCAAGGTTTGTTACGGAATAAAAACAAACCTCTGTGTACAACCACAAATCAGAACTTGGGTGGGGTCTCCAAACATTTACAATTATTACGAAGCTGTTCAATTAAAAAAAAATCTAGAAATTGCAGTTGAAAACAAACAAAAGTGGATCAAATTTGAGGATGAGGCAAACAATGGTGCAGGAAGATTTGGAATTTTCACAAAGAATGTAATCAAAGATTTGAAATCTGCAATAGGCCCCAGGAAATTGGCATTAGGTATATGGAGGAAATGGCAACCTTTATGGTTAAAAAGGATTTCTCTAAGTGCACCCTTAGAAAGCATTTGTGAGGTAATAGATGATCCCAAATGGTGGAAAATTCTAAACACTAAGGGATATCTTATAGTTAAAGATACGCATAGAGGAGAGTCCTTAAAGTCATTTCAGGAAGTAATATAGAACATAGGTAACCAATATTGGTTAAAAATTGGAGGACTATACAACAAAATTTCCAAAGTCCAAGAGATAGGAAATATGAGTTTAGAAGAGCCAATAGAGGAACTATACAAACAAATGGAAAAAAACGAAACAAGGAATGATAGGTAAAATCTATAAGAGAATGATTACAAATAAGAAACAGACAACCCAACTTATTCCAAAGATGTAGAGTAAGGAAGAACAAGTTAGTGAATCAACGGTCGAAAGGATAATGAAAGGAATAGATGAGATTAAAGTAAGCAAATTTAGAGAGCTGGAATTCTAATTCTTTCTAAAATGGTACAGAACTCCGGCCCAGCTAGCTAATATGGTAGCAGGATTGAATTCTAACTGTTGGCACTGTAAACAAAAGCATTAGTTTTAAGAGTTGTCTTAAATGTCAGAGCTCATTTTTTTTATTTTTTGGAAGGAGGTAAGAGGCGGTAGACAGATCCTCTGGATACTGGGGGAAGTTGAATTTCTCAGAAATTTCAGAGTGTAGGGTTGGCTCAGCTATGTCCAGACCAGCAGTGGGGCATCTCCAATTAGGCCTATCAGACTGTACCTTTTGGCCCCTGAAGCCCTTTTGGCCAAGCCACACATCGCACCCTACCTTTGGCATCATGGATGATGTCAGGTGTGGGGCAGGTAGAGATGCGCCTGGGCTGAAAGGGGTTTTGCAGCACCTGAAGATAAATCCTTGTGCAAAGCGGTTTTGTTTTGGTTCTTACACTTAAAGAAAGAAAGAGAAAATAAAGAAATAAAGCCTCATGGCTGCTTGAACCAACAGCAAGTGTCTCTGTACCTTCCTGGCCACATTTCCTGAGTCAGAAGACTCCTGGGAATGATGCTCTTCCCTTTAAAGCCCAATACAGCCTAGGAACCTCGTAGCTACGGGACCGTCTCTCCTGGTATGCCACACGAAGGACATTGCGGTTTGCAAATAACAACATCCTGGAGATCCTGGGCCTCGGGGAGAAAAGGCTGGCCTTGAATTTCAGTAAGACCCAGAAGCTCTGTGCCTGGTATGACCCCACAGGATGCACTCCTCTAGAGTCGCCTCTGCCCGCTGAACCCAGAGGCGCTGCTATTGCTGGGAACAGACTCAGCCTCCCCTATGCAGCAAAGGTCTGGCCAATGAACAGCCCAAGTACATGAAACTATGTAGACTTTCTCCCCAAAATAATGTCACTGAATGAACTTTTCTTCACTCAGATCATTGCCCTGGGGCAATCGGGGGGGGGGGGAATTAACCTCTCTAGTCATGAGGAGTGTCCTCTGTTGCCTTCCTTGCTGATACCAATGTGGAGAGGACACCAAAGTGTGCTGGCAAAACTCATAATAGATAAGTTATGCAAACTGACCTTTCTCCCTGTTATTCTTAACACAGGCTCATTCGTGGAAAATAGTTAATCTTTAAATGAGTTCAGGCTCCTTGGATTTATAGGCAGCGCTTGGGATGCCCATCCACTTCTTTGCAGAGCCAAAGTACCAGGAGCAGCAAAGTCAAGAGGGCCGTCAGCTCCCAAATGGGCCTCTTTGGAGTGTTGCCCTTCTTGCTGGTCTCCTGCATCACCTTCTTGCTTATCCTAATCCGGAGGAGAGATGCCACAAAGGGCAAACTGCCCCCGGGCCCCACCCCATTGCCCTTGGTGGGCAACTTGCTCCAGTTGGATGTTCGGAACATCGTAACATCTTTTCAGAAGGTCAGTGTGGGTCTCTGCTGCCAGCAGGGCTGGGGTCTGCTATGTGAAGGAGGTGTCCCAGTGCCATTCGGAGTGGAAGAGGAGGAGCTACCCCTAGGCAGGATTTGTTACTGCAGAAAAAGAGGAATCTGTCTTATACAGATTCAGACTATTGATCCATCTAGTCATGTTTTCTTCTGCTCTGCACTGTCCGGCAGTAGCTCTCCAGGGCTTTAGATGGCAGGGACTGGACCTGGGTCCTTCTGCATGCAGAGCATGTGGTCTTCCACTGAATCACACTGTGCTGGTCCCAGGGGGGTTACCGTGCGGCGTGGTCTGAGTCCGGTCCTGGGTCGAGGGTCTGGAGGCTGTCTGTCAAGGGCGAAGCGGGGTCCAAGGCAAGGAGCTGGGCGTGGTCAGGAACTCCGGAAGAACAGGTCAGGGTGCTGACAGGAACAGGTTTCCAGCGATGTTGCTCCTGCAACCTGGGACTGGGCTGATTGGCCTTTATCTCCTCTAAGGCCTAGGGCCCACAGGTGGCTCGCATCTCCTGGCCTTAAGGCGAGCACTCCTCCTGAGAGAACTTCGTTCCCTCCGCCTCTCTGCCCTGAGCCTCTGCAGCTCAGGAGAGGCTGGAGGGTTACTGGACCTAGAGGCAACCTCACCTTCCCCTGACAGGTCTGGGAGAGGAGCACCTGCAGGCAATGGGTCCTCAATCACCTCCGGAGCCAGAGTGGATTCATCTGGTGTCTGCTCCTGAGGTGCGGGCCCTTCAGATTCAAGCCCCTGCCTCAGATCAGCCGGCCCTGGAGGTGGGGACTCCTCACGCTGTTGCTTTCCATCCAAGTATCAGGTGTGTTCTTTGTCTCTTGGCAGCTCCAGGAGCAGTATGGCTCAGTCTTCACTGTCTACATGGGCTCCCGGCCAAT